AAAAATATAAAAAAAAGATTTTACTGATTTGAGAGAGAGAGCCTGCAAGCGAGCACGAGGGACCAGGTCTCTAGTACCTACCATAGCACCTGGTAAACAGGAGGTGGTTCAGAAATTCTTCTTAGATATTTCACTCCTCTTTGTACCACCCGAGCCTAACTTGATGCCTGACCCTTGGAGGTGTTCAGTGGGCCTTGCTTGGCTCCACCACCATGACTTGTGTAACAGCTACTGGGCACTGATTTGAAGGTAGGGTGGGTACCCTTTCTCCTGTGGTCACAAACTAGACGAAATTGCTTTCCAGGTTAGGACTGACCTTGAAGATATCTTTTGCATAGTCTTTCTCAAGATGTTTCCAAAGACATTCTCCATCTCGTGATGAGTCTTTGTTCCAAAGTGAACAGTGGCTTCCTTTAGGGCAGGAAACATATTTTTATTCATTTTTGTATTCCTATGACTTATCACAGTACATGATACATAGTGGGTGATGGTAGTATTTGTTTCATGAATTTCAAATTCATTGTTTTGGACTTGAAATATGTTTTATGAAATATGCTGATTCCTCCTCATAAGCCTTTATTTATTTATTTATTTTGCCTTTTATATCATATTTTAATGTGCATATACTAAAATTTACGTATCTGTGTAAGAATCATTAGAAGACCAGAAACAACAAGATAGAAGTCAACCTCCCCTTGCATGTGGGTTGTATGGCAGACTATACCAAGTCATTGACAAGAACTGCAATATGCAGAATAATAAGGCCAGTCCCCTCTTGTGCCACCAAAGAGCAGCACACAAAGTAAATATGAAACACAGAAGCATAATAATTGTTGCAAGCAGTCTTGTTTCAAACATTTTCTTCAGCTTCATGGGTCCCATTAAAAAGCACATCCTGGCTAATGCAGCAATATTTCCAAGGGTATAAAATGCTGCAAAAAGCTTTATGCCACCAGGAAGCCACAGCAATCCAGTTTCAAGGATAGAGAAGAACGTGCTGCACGCGAAGCATATGACAAACCACTTCGACCTGGTGTTGACCCTAAGGGATGAGGCATCCAGGACCTGTGAGGTCCGTCGTCCTGACCGCTCAGGACCCACCACAGCTTCTCCGATGGCCCTGTTCCCCTACCACACTGGCAGCCCCTGATTGCTGGCACCCTCAAAAGCCTTTTAAACCTGTAGCCTAATGGGCAACTAGGCATACTGAGGACTGGAGGAGAGGAACTCTAGGAGATGGGAGAAGTTAGCAGAATGGGAAGTAAGTTATTTCTCAGAAATATTTAAAAGCTGAATTGAAACAATTCAGAACAGTTCTAGGCCAAAAGTTGTAGGTTCTTAGAAAGTCCTATTGGGGAGATTGGGAAGCTCTGGGTTCCATTTACCACTTACCATTACACAGATTATTTTGTTTCTCATATACTTTATTTTAATTTTTTTTTTAGATTTTATTTATTTATTTGAGAGAGAGAGAGAGCGCATGTACGAGAGGGCACAAACGGGGGCGAGGGATAAGCAGACTCCCTGCTGAGCAGGGTGCCCAACACGGACTCTGTCCCAGGACCCCAGGATCATGACCTGAGCTAAAGGCAGATGCTTAACTAACTGAGTCACTCAGGCGTCCCTCTCCTCAGTTATTTAAACGACAGTTAAACTAGATGACTCAGCATGTTTTCCTGATTCTTTGTCTTTCTTTTTCTTTTCTTCATTAGGAATGCCCTGCTCTTTTATGCCATTATCATCATCCTTTAATTCCCTGCTGAAATGCTACACTCTTTCCCTGAAACCCTGTGGAAGAAATAGTCTCGCCCTACCCTGAACATCTCAGTTTTTAGACCCCCTCATGGTACTTAATGTTATTACTAGAATTATATTTCGGTTATCATTCCTATTCCCACTAGAAAGAAGGGATCTAATTTAGCTATGTGTATTTCATAGCACAGGACCTTGTAAATGTTGAGTGAGCCATGTGACAGAACTGTATTACTGGTTAGTGTGATGTTTAACTTTACATGTCAACTTGACTGGGCCATGGGGTGCCCAGATATTTGGTCAAACATTATTCTGGGTGTTTTTGTATGAGATTAACATTTACATCGGTAGACTGAGTAAAGCAAATTGCCCTCCTAATGTGGGCAGACCTCATCCAATCAGTTGATGGCTTGAATAGAAGAAAAAGGTTGACCCTCCTCTGAGTAAGAAAGAATTCCTCCTGGCTGTCTGGGACATCAGCTTCTCTCTGCCTTCAGACTTGAACTGAAACATTGGCTCTTGGAGCCAAACATGGGTCTGGAGCTTGCTGGCATTCGGACTGCAACTACACCATTGGCTCCCCTGGTCTCCAGCTTGCTGACTTACCCTGCAGATCTTGGGACTTGTCAGCCTGTTTCATCAAGTGAGCCAATTCCTTATAAATCTCTATCTATCTGTCTATCTATCTATCTGTCTGTCTGTCTGCCTATCAGTCTATCTGTCTGTCTGTCTGTCTATCTGTCTGTCTGTCTGATCTCTGTATCTAGATACATATCCATCCTATTGGTTCTATTTTTCTGGAGAACCCTGACTAATACACTTAGGTCCTGGATTTTATTTTATTTTTTATTTTATTTATTTGTAAAGATTTTATTATTGAGAGCGAGCGAGAGCGCACAGAGGGAGAGTGAGAGGGAGAAGCAGACTCCCTGACGAGCGGAGAGCCCGACGTGGGGCTTGATCGCACGACTCCGAGATCATGCCCTGAGCCAAAGGCAGATTGAGCCACCCAGGCGCCCCTAGATCCTAGATTTTAGAAATATTCTAGAGAAAGGAAAAGAGTTTGATCTACCTTTCCTGGAATTGGATTAACATAAGGCCACTTTTAAAATGATGCTTACCTTTGATACCTTTTCATCTTCTGAATGCTTCTCATGTGAACTCTTCTCCCTTTTCCAATATTTCAGCCACATAGGACTTGGACACTTCCATCAGCGCTCCACTATAGTACCTGAATGAGGCCCACCCTGCTTCACATGTAAGGCCCAAATTTTCCTTGCTTTTGAATCCTCTTCCCAACCCCACCCTGTCAGAGCCCCAACTCAGTGTGGTAGGTCTGAGGTAGGTGGTGGGGGAAAGCAACCTGACCATTCAAGTGATTCATGTATAGCTGAGAACTCTCTAGCCTTCTCAGAATCATTTGCTAAATGAATTGGGTGAAATATCAAGTAATTTAATAAAATGGGGTGGAGTTTTTAGGCAAAGTGGGAATGATATCTTTGAGTAACTGCCCAGTGGGCAGGCAGGACAGCCTTCTGACCGTCAGCCGTAGGGTGAGGACCTCCTATGCACTTGCTGCTTTGGCAGATTCTTCCCTTTTCTATTTCTGAAACCACAGCTTCTCTAAGAACAATAGCAAGTAAGCGCTCCCACAGAAATAGGGGTGGAGACTCTGCTGCCCGCACAAAAAAGGAGGGAGAGGAAAGGGAAACTGTGTCTCCACTGGATCTTTATAAGTTAGCAAATACTTAGGGTTTTGAAAGGCTCATTTTAGAAGAATATAGACTGTTTTAAAGATGATGAGAAAATCAGTGGTTTTATATTACGTGTGGCCATAAATGAAGACCCTGGCAGGAGAGCAGATGTCAGTGGAGCATGAGAGTCACCCTGTTCGCAAACATGTTGCTTAGTCACATCTGCACTGAAGCTGCCCTGGCTTAAAATACTTAGTGCCTTGCCTATTGTAAGACAGATCTTCTCTCCAGGTTTCCTGTAAGAAGGAAGGGGAGGATTTAGGGGAAAGATCATGATCATAATATAAAACTACAAACTCCTTGCATCTGTTTCCATATTTAAATATATTATGTCTTTCTCATATTAAAAAAAGTCCCCTGGGGTGCCTGGGTGGCGAAGTCAGTTGGGCATTTGACTCTTGGTTTCGGCTCAGGTCGTGATCTCAGGGTCATGGGATTGAACTCTGCGTCAGGCTCCACGCTTGGCATGGAGTTTGCTTGAGATTCTCTCTCCCTTTCTCTCTGCCCCTCCCCAACGCATGCGCTCGCTCTCTCTCTCTCTCAAATAAATAAATCTTAAAAAAAAAAATCTCTTTTTTGAACCCTATTCCTCTTGCTGACTTCCGCTCTAGCACTGTCTTCCTTTGTATAGACAAACTTCTTAAAAGTATTGTTTTTAACCAGTATCTCCATTTGCTTATCTCCAATCCACTCCTCAGCATCATAGAGTTAATTCTCTTCCCACGCTGTGCAACCAGAACTGCTCTAACCCAGGTTTCTAATGGTGAAGTTATCCCCAAACAGGATAAACCCTTCTCACCTTTGTTTTACATGATGTCATAGAGCCCTTGCCCCTGTTGGCCACTGCTTCACTCAGACTGCTGCCGTGGCCCCCACTCTGGTGGCTCCCCACAAATCTGCCCATTCCTTTTCAGTTCTCTTTGCCACCTCCTCTGATCTGTCCGTCCCCTAAATACCATTGGTGTCTAGAGGTCCGTCTTGTCCTGTGCCCTCCTCTCTTCCTGTATGTACTCACCAGGCCCTCTGTGACTTCAGTCATAATCCATCTCTCTTGAGTTGTGTATCTCCACTGTCTGTTGGGTACCTGCTTTTGAATATGTAGCATGTCCCAAACTGTCTTACCTCCAAACCTGGCTCTTTAAAAATAATAATAGTTATCATTATAATAATAGATGTGTGCTGGTAGCCCACAGTGATCTGTGCCAGAAACCTGCTACCACCCTGCCTCTTCCCTTCGTCATTCCCTCAGCTGGTCAGTCGTCAGTCTTGACGGTGTTACCGCCTACCTATCTCTATCCTGTCTCCTCCTTTCCAACGTAACTCACACTACTAACTCAGGCCCCCATCATCTCCTTCTCTGGATCCCTGCACCATCTTCTCTCTGACTCCCTTCCTTGCCTCCAGCCTAATTAATTCTGGGTCCCCTCCCAGCCCCTTGCCCACATTGTGGCTGGAGTGGCCCTTATCAAACAAACTTCTGATCGCATCCTTTTCCATTATTAAAGTCCTTCAGTCCTTCTGTGTTGCCCTCCGGCTGCACTTTGACCTCTTCAGCATGGCTTCCAAGTTTTTTGTCCTGTTAAAATTTAAAAGACCTCAGTGTACTTCCGCTTCCTCTGTCTCAGTCCTGCCCCTCACCCCAATTCTTGCACATTATGTTCCAGCCACACCAAAGTACTTTAATTCCTGAAATTCCCTGCTTCTATGAGTCTGGGCCTTTGCACTTATTCTGTCTGCCTAGAACACTCCTGTCATGCCTCTTTATCTTCCTATCAGTTTGAGTTATCTTTCAGGCTTTGGTTTGTACCTTACTTCTGTAATCTACTACACTAACACACCAACCCTGGATTATGCTCCTGAAGTTCCCAGCACTTACCCCTTTTGTAGCACTTACTATGCTCTCTTGAGACCATCTGATGAATGTACTGTAAGCACCTTGTAGGCAGAGATGATATGTTAAATTCCTGGGGCCTAGAAAAGTACCTTCCTTTATTTTTTTTATTTTTTTTTATTTTGACAGAGGGAGACACAGCGAGAGAGGGAACACAAGCAGGGGGAGAGGGAGAGGGAGAAGCAGGCTTCCCGCCGAGCAGGGAGCCCGATGCGGGGCTCAATCCCAGGACCCTGGGATCATGACCTGAGCCGAAGGCAGACGCTTAACGACTGAGCCACCCAGGCACCCCAGAAAAGTACCTTTCATATAATAGATGCTCAATAAATATTTGTGGTATCAACGAATGATTTCCATAGTTACTTAGGACACCTTTCTTCTTAAGTCAGTTGAGCAAGTGGTATAGAGCTGGTAGGGAGAGAGCACAAATGAGGTCCAAGGCCTTGATATCAGTTTTTGTTGTTTTGTTTTGTTTTAATTAAAGCAAAAGTTCAGATTTTTGCAGTGTTACAGGCTGGCTATGGGTCTTAATGGGCTTGTGGGCTAGTATAACTGAACCTAAACTCCAGCCGGCTGACACTGTCCTTTTCCAGACCTTTCAGTTTCTTTTTAAGTAACAGCTTGAGATAGAATTCATATACCATACAATTCATCCATTTAAAATGTATAATTCAGTGGTTTTTAGTAAGTTCACAGAATGGCATGACAGCCATCACTGCAATGTTAGAACATTTTCATCACACTAACGAGAAACCCCATACCCATTAGCAATCGCTCCTCATCCCCATCTCCTCTCTCCATTCCCTGGAAGCCACTACTCTTTTTGTCTCTATGAATTTGCCTGTTCAGGATATTTCATATAAATAAAATCATACAATCTGTGGTATTTGTGACTGGCTTCTTTCACTTAGCATGACGTTTTTAAGATTCATCCATGTTGTATCAGGTGTCAGTATTTTATTTTTATTTCTTTTTATTGCCAAATGATTTTCCATTACACACCCTATTTTGTTTATCCATCCATCAGTTGATGGATATTTGGGTTGTTTGCACTTTTTGGCTAGCACAAATCATGCTGCTTATGAACATTTGTGTACAAGCTCTTGTGTCGACATAGTTTTTATTTCTCTTGGGTATATATCTGGGAGTGGAATTGCCGGGTCATATGGAGGACTTCAGATTTTTTGTTTTTTTAAGTAGCCTCCACACCTATCTTGGAGCTTGGATCCATGACCCTGAGATCAAGAGTCGGATGCTCTACTGATTGGGCCAGCCAGGTGGCCCAGGACTTAAGATTCTAAAGAACAGAGGGCACCTGGGTGGCTCAGATGGTTAAGCGTCTGCCTTCGGCTTAGGTCACGATCCCGGGGTCCTGGGATTGAGTCCCGCATCGGGCTCCCTATGGGAGCCTGCTTCTCCCTCTGCTTCTCTGTCTCTCATGAATAAATAAATAAAATCTTTAAAAAAAAAGATTCTAAAGAACAGAGGTTGTAGGGGCGCATGGGTGGCTCAGTCGGTTGGGCGACCAGCTTTTGGTTTCAGTTCAGGTCATGGTCCTGGGGTCCTGGGATTCTGGGGTTGAGCCCCACGTTGGCTCCTTCCTCAGAGCAGAGTCTGCTGGTCTGCTGGAGGATTCTCTCTCCCTCTGCCCTTTACTCCCCCCCCCCGCCCCCCTGCCACTCATGCACATGCTCTCTCTCTTTTAAATAAATAAATCTTTAAATAAAAAGAACAGAGGTTGCTTCACAGAATAAGCTCACAAGCACACGAAGCACTAATAACTCTTGCTCTTTAATTTATTGATTTACTGGCAGGCAAGTTTTACAGCTGACTCTGAAGAATTGACATTAATCAAATTTCTCTATCTAATGTAAAATAGCCAACGAATGTGCAAAGTCCAATTCTCCTGTGCAGGAGAATAAAGTCCTTCTTGGGTTTAAACAGAAGTGGGAGAAATTAGTGTCTGGTTCTGCCCATTTCCACTCCCACTCCACCGTACCCCTGGACCACACAGGGCTGGCTGATGGAGTCATGCAGGAAAGCTTCAACTGGGGAAGCTGGCCTAATAACTGACTTTAACTGTAATTAAATCACTGCTACCCTCTGTATTTACAGTAGGAATGTATTGTTCCTTTTGTATTACACCTCTCTTTGGCTCTTCTTTTTTCATCTCCAACATCTCTGCCACCATATACACTCCTGTCTTTCTTTTCTTCTCAACCTCCTGGTAGTATCAAGTTGTTCCTTGGTCCCATTTAAGTTCAGACAATAAAGTTATGAGACTCAACATGAGTTTTAGGATTCCTTTTACAAGTATCTCATATCAAGATAAATACAGCCACCTTAAAAGTAGTTGTCCTGGAAAAAAAAATAGTTGGCCTGGGTGGCTATACATTTATTCCAAGAGTTCTTTTGTTACTCAAAACATTTTGGTATTTCACGTAGTTTCTCTCAACACCTGTCTGAACCCTACAAGAAGACCAGTTTCACTTCCTTAATAATCATACCTAGTACCGCAGGGGGCCTCCCACTTTGCTTGTATTTATTTGTCTTCCTATTCCCAGTTCCCCTTTTCCTTTCTAGCTCTAGTCCCCAGACAAGAGGAGTTCTGGATTCAAATGGGGCAAGGCTCATTGACACAGAGAGGCAGTGAAGGGAGACTGGCATGTTTCACAAGACTTTGACCTTTAAACAAAGCATGCTTAAGCAGCTCTTTTTTTTTTTTTTTTTTTAAAGATTTATTTATTTATTTGAGAGAGAGAGCAGGGGGAGGGGCAGAGGGAGAGAGAAAATCTCAAGCAGATGCCCCACTGAGCACGGAGCCTGATGTGGGGCTCAATCTCAGGACCTTGAGATCATGACCTGAGCCAAAATTGGAGGCTTAACCGACTGAGCCACCCAGGCGCCCCTAAGTTGCTCTTTTTAATGTGACTTTCTTCAGTGTCCCATTTCTGCTTTGTGATCCCCCCTCGGCCTTTTTTACAGGAAAAAAAAACAAACATAAAATACTGGGGCTGGGAATATGGCCTTGAATTGTTCTCTCAGAGGAAGCCTGAGGAGAATGAGTAGAGAGAGGCACGTCAGAGGGCTCCATTTCCTTCTGGTCCTGGGGAGTTAATGTTCTACCAGCAATTCCCACTCTTGGGGAGATGCTGCTCAGGGTAGAGGGCAGTTAGTACAGGGTTGTGATTCAAGGGAGACCTGCATCTGACCTTCCTGCTTTATCTCTAAAGTCTATAGCTGTGATCTTGTATCTTCTTAGTTCTTAGACTTTGGATCTTCATATTTTCTTCCTCTTTTGAGTCTCTGCTCTGGGAGAAAATGAAGATGTTTATTAGGGACAGGGGGAGGGGAACCCTGAAATTTGCAAAACAAAAATTAACATATAGCTGAACTTCCTGCCCATCATGCCTCCCTCTTCTCCCCAGCAGTTTCTGAACCTCCCAAAACCCCAGTGGGATGTTAGCTGATTGTACAAATGTATCTACAGGATTTCCTTAAGATGGGGCTATGTTTGAAGGCTTTATGTTCTGGTTACCATCTTACCTGCTTTTCCCTTTTCCAGAGGATTCTACTTCTCATGAATAGGTATGAGACCAATGGTTGAGAAATTCAGCCTCCCTTCACCCTTTAGTAATTGCAGAATAAGTGATGCAGAGGCTGTTTAGATAATATAGGTGTGGGGAGAGAGGAAAAGAAACACCTGCTGGGGGAGAGACCAGAGAGCACCATTAGTCAATGAACATCTCTGGAGCAGAGTAAGGGAGGAGGTGGAAACAAATGGCTGTTATGGACTTGGCCTTAGGGTACGTTCTGGGGGTATAGAGATAAATAAGATACAGTCCTTACTTTACAAGTGTATAGTCTAGCAAAAAGAAGAAAGGAAACAAGTACAGATTAGATGAGATTTTAGGGATGCCCGGGTAGCTCAGTCGGTTAAGCGTCTGCTTTCAGCTCAGGTCCTGATCCCAGGGTCCTTGCTCAGCGGGGAGTCTACTTGTCCCTCTCCCTCTGCCCCTCCCCCCCGCTTGTGCTCATACTCTTTTTCTCTCTCTCAGATAAATAAATAAAATCTTTAAATTGAAGTATAGGTGACATACAATACTATATTAGTTTCAGGTGTACAACAGTGATTTGACAATTGTATACATTATGAAATGTGCATTGTAAGTGTAGTTACCATCTGTCACCATACAAAGTTATTACAATATTATTGACTGTATTCCCTATGCTGTGTTTTTCATCCCTATGACTTATTTTCTAATTCGAAGTTTGTACTTAAATTTTTTTTTTTTAAGAGAGAGTTTGCGCCTTTGTTTCCATGCCAATAGTGCTTTCACAAACATGGTGAACGTTACTAAACCTGGCAGACTTTCTGCAAGAAGTGTGGCAAGTACCTACTCCACAAAGTAACACGGTACAAGAAAGGCAAAGATTCTCTTTATGCTCAGGGAGAGTGACGTTATGACAGGAAGCAGAGTGGCTATGGTGGGCAGACTAAGCTGATTTTTTGGAAAAAGCCTAAAACTACAAAGAAGATTGTGCTGAGGCTTGAATGTGTTGAGCCCAATTGCAGATCTAAGAGAATGCTGGCTAGAGTTTTGAACTGGGAGGAGATAAGAGAAAGGGCCAAGTGATCCAGTTCTAAGTTTAATATTTTGTTATATTATGAAGACAATAAAATCTTGAAGTTATGTTAAAAAAAAGAGAGTGCGTGCATGTGGGAGCAGGGTAGATGGGGAGTGGGGGTGGGGGGAGGGGCAGAAGGAGAGGAGAGAAAGGATCTTAAGCAGGCTCCATGCTCAGTGCAGAGCCTGATGCCGGCTGATCTCAGGACTGGGAGATCATGACCGGGAGATGGTGACCTGAGCTGAAACCAGGAGCCGACTGCTTAACCAGCTGAGCCACCCAGGCACCCCAGGAAGTCTGTACTTCTTAATCTTTTTCACCTTTCACCCATCCCCCCTCACACCTCACCCCTCTGAAAACCACCAGCTTGTTCTTTGTATTTATGAATCTATTTCTGTTTTGTTTATTTAGATTCCACATATAAGTGAAATCATATGGTATTTGTGTTTTTCTGTCTGACGTATTTCACTTAGCATAATACCCTCTAAGTCCATCCACGCTGGCAAGATTACATTCTTTTTTATGGCTGAATAATATCCTACTGTGTGTGTGTGTGTGTGTGTGTGTGTGTGTGTGTGTGTGTATAACATATTTTTTTTGTCCATTCATTTATCAGTGGGCACTTGGATTGCTTCCATATCTTGTCTATTATGGATAATACTGCAAATAAACATAGGAGTGCATGTATCTTTTTGAATTAGTGTTTTGTTTTCCTCAGGTAAATACCTCGAAGTGGAATTGCTGGGTCATATGGTATTTGTTTTTAATTTTTTGAGCAACCTCCATACTGTTTTCCATAGTGGCTATATCAATTTACATTCCCACCAACAGCTCACAAGGGCTCTATTTTTCCCATATCATTGCCAATTCTTGTTATTTCTTGTCTTTTTGATATTAGCCTTTCTGACTGGTATGAGGTGATATCTCATTGTGGTTTTGATTTGCATTTTTCTGATGATTAGTGATGCTGAACATCTTTTCATGTGACTCTTGACCATCTGTATGTCATCTTTGGAAAAAGCCTATTCAGGTCCTCTGCCCATTTTTTTTTCGAAGTCTATTTTTAATTTTCTTTTAAGTAGACCCTACACCCAACGTGGGCTCGAACTCATGACCCTGAGATCAAGAGTCACATGCTCCACTGATGGAGCCAGCCAGATGCCCCTCCTCTGTCCATTTTTTAAATTGGATTATTTGGTTTTTTGGTGTTGAGTTGTATGAGTTCTTTATATATTTTGGATATTACCCTCTTATAGGATATATCATTTGCAAATATCTTCTCCCATTCAGTATGTTGCTTTTTCATTTTGTTAATGGTTTCCTTTGCTGTGCGAAAAGTTTGATGTAGTCCCAATAGTTTATTTTTGCTTTGTTTCCCTTGCCTCAGGAGACAGATCCAGAAGAATATTGCTGAGGCCGATATCCAACAGATTACTGTCTATGTTTTCTTTTAGAGGTTTTATGGCTTCAGGTCTTAAATTTAGGTCCTTAATCCATTTTGAGTTTATTTTTGTGTATGGTTTAAGAAAGTGGTACAGTTTGATTCTGTTGCATGTAGCTGTCCAGTTTCCCAGCACCATTTATTGAAGAGACTATCTTTTCCCCATTATATATTTTTGCTTCCTTTGTATGTAATTGACCATATAAGCTTGGGTTTGTTTCTGGGTTCTCTATTAAGTCTCATTGATCTATGTGTCTATTTTTGTGCATGTACCATATTGTTTTGATTACTGTAGCTTTCTAATATTGTTTGAAATCTGGGACTGTGATTATTCCAGCTTTGTTCTTCTTTCTCGAGATTGCTTTGGTCATGTGGGGTATTTTGTGGTTCCATACACATCTTAGGATTACTTATTCTAGTTCTGTGAAAATACTCTTGGAGTCTTGGTAGGGATTGCATTAAATCTGTAGATTGCTTTGTGTAGTATGGACATTTTAACAATATTAATTCTTCCACTTCATCAGCATAGTATATCTTTCCATCTATTCCATTTATCTTCAGTTTCTTGCATCAGTGTCTACAGTTTTCAGAGTACAGGTCTTTCACCTCCTTGGTTAAATTTATTCCTAGGTATTTGATTCCTTTTGATGTGATTTAAATGGGATTATTTTCTTAATTTCTCTTTCTGGTATTTTGTTATTATTCTGTAAAAATGCAACAGATTTCTGTATATTAATTCTGTATCCTGCAGCTAAAATTTATTGTTTGCCCACTGTCTTCTAAGCATTTTACACATGTACTAACTCACTGACTTCTGACAATAGCCCTGTGAAGTACGTATTGTTATAATCCCTGTTTCATAGGTAAAGAATCTGAGGCACGGAGAAACATTACAAGTAGCCTGCCCAAAGTCTCAGAGTAGGTCCTTAGGAGCAGGACCTCCAAGGTAGTCCAGCTCCAGAATGTGTGCTCCTAAATAACATGGTCTCTGGTAAGTCATCCAAAGCATATGCCTAAACTCTGCTGCTTCACATCTGCATGCCTTTGTACCACTGGTTTGCCCTTTGGCCTGTACTACTTTTTTCTTAAAGACTCTGGTTAAGGGGAGGATGCTCCTTTAAGATCTTCTCAGACTTTGGGCACCTGGGTGGCTCAGTTGGTTAAGCAACTGCCTTCAGCTCAGGTCATGATCCCGGAGTCCCAGGATCGAGTCCCACATCGGGCTCCCTGCTCAGCAGGGAGTCTGCTTCTCCCTCTGACCCTCTTCCCTCTTGTGCTCTCTATCTCTCATTCTCTCTCTCTCAAATAAATAAATAAAATCTTAAAAAAAAAAAAGATATTCTCAGACTTCTTTTGCCTATCCCAGAGGCAGTCACTGTCCTTGGAGCTTGACTGCACTTTGTCAAATTTTGTTAAACTACATAGTAGTGTATGTTGGAATATCTGATTCCTTGTGTTATAAGCTTCTGGAGAGCAGGGACTTCTTTTTTTTCTGGAAAATTTCAAACAGTTGCAAAAGTAAAGCTAATAATAAGATGAATCCACATACTCATCATGCAGCTTTGGCAATTATTTTGTGGCCGGTATTGTATCATTATACTCCTCTCCTCAAACCTGGATTATTTTGGAGCAAATTTCAGACATCAGATAATTTCATTAATATTCCAATTGTACTACTAAAATATAAGGTATCTTTACAAAAATATAACCACAATACCATTATTGCACTAAAAATTAATACTTCCTCAATGTCTTAAAATATTCACTGTTCTGATTTCTGCAACTATCTCATAATTTCCCCCCCTTCCCTTCTCTTTCCTTCCAGCCTTTTTTGTTCCTTTATTCTTTCTTTGCCTACCCCACCACCCCCTTAAAAATCCAAGTAAGGGGCTTTATTTTTTTTAATATTTTATTTATTTATTTGAGAGAGAGAGGCAGACAGAGGCAGAGGGAGAAGCAGGCTCCCCACTGAGCAAGGAGCCCAACGTGGGACTCAATCCCAGGGCCCTGGGATCATTACCTGAGCTGAAGGCAGATGCTTAACCAACAGAGACACCCAGGTGCCCCGGGCTTTATTTTTTAATCTTCATCTTCTCATCAGCCCCTGGCTTAGTGCTTGACATACAGAAATCCTCAGTAAATGTTTAGTAAATGAATGACTCATCAGAAATCTATAAAAATGCCCTAGTTGAATGAGTGTAGCCTTATTGTCATATTTGGTTGGTTTCTTTGCGTGGCTTTTGGTTTCTGGTACTTTAGTTAGGGATTAATTTAGATGCTGGCTACTGTCAGATTACTAAAGGTTTGAGGACAGTGAGTGTGTCTGTGACTCAGACATTTGCATGCTAGAAGGAAATGGGCTGGGTTTTCTTGTTTCTGTTTTTTTTTTTTTTAAAGATTTTATTTATTTATTTGAGAGAGAGAGAGAGAGCGCGCACATGAGAGGGGGGAGGGTCAGAGGGAGAAGCAGACTCCCCACGGAGCAGGGAGCCAGATGCGGGACTCGATCCCGGGACTCCAGGATCATGACCTGAGCTGAAGGCAGTCGCTTAATCAACTGAGCCACCCAGGCGCCCTCTTGTTTCTGTTTTTTGTTCCTAGTCTCTATTTCACTTTGAGTTTGGATGACCGTGTTTGGCTTTTTTGCTATTTCTTCAAAATAGGGATGACCCTGAAGGAGCTCCTTGAGAGCATGAACAGAGTTCACTTTGTGGTGGTAGGTTTTGTACCTGATAGACTGAATTGGTTGCTCCTTCACTTACTTTATTTTTAAAAATTGAGATGAAATTGAAATACACTGAAATGCATATAGATCTGGGTGTCTGGGTGGCTCAGTCGGTTAAGCGTCTGCTGCCTTCTGCTCAGGTCGTGATCATGGAGTCCTGGGATCAAACCCTGAGTTGGGCTCCCTGCTCAGCAGGGAGTCTGCTTCTTCCTCTGCCACCCCTACTCCCCCACTCCCGCTCGTGTTTGTGCTCTCTTTCTCTCTCAAATAAAAAAAATAAAATCTTAAAAAAAAAAAGAAATGCATACAGATCTTAAGTGTACCATTTGAGTTTTGGTAAATGTATATACATCCATGTAATCACCACCTGAATTGAGATGTCAGATGTGACCCAGAAAGCTCCCTTGTGCACCTTTGCAGTTAATTCCACCCCCTATGGTGAATCCTAACATCATTAATTATTATTGCCTATTCTTGAGCTTCATTTAAATGGCATCATATAGTATGTGCTCCTTCATGTCTAGCTTCTTCTGCATAGTATAATGTTTTGGAGATTCATATATCTCATTTTAGCAGTAGTTTGTGCCCTTTTTATTGATGACTAGTATTCCCTTGTATAGATATACCACAATCTGTTTATCCGTTCACATACTGATGGATATTTGTGGTTTCCATTTTTTGGCGATTATGAATAATGCTGTTTAGAAGCATTGATGTATAACTCTTTGTGTGGATATCTATTTTCATTTCTCTTGGATAGATAGCCAGAAGTGGGATTGACTGTATATTTAACTTTATAAGAAAATGTCAGACTCTTTTCCAGAGTGGTTGTGTCATTTTCTATTTCCACCAGCAATATGAAGAATGCCAGCTGTTTCCCATCTTCACAACAGGTGGTATCAGCAGTCTCTTAAAGTTTAGCTACTTGCCGATAATTTTGAGTACTCCTCTGTGCCTTGAAGAATATTCATTTTATGCCCATCACGTGGAATATTCTCCTAACTCCTCAGTTTTTCAATTTTACCTATGTTTAGGTCAGTGTTTCCTGACACAAAATATACATGAAAATTACCTGGGAGTCTTTCCAAATAACCCAGGTCTCACTGAAGACACACTGTACCAGCAGCTTTCTCAGGGATTGTTCATGGACTCAGTATGTATGTTGGAAAAGTTCCCCAGGTAATTCCGATTTCTATTCCTAGCTAAAAACCACTGCTTCGAGGCTCAAGTCCTACCTGTGATAACAGAGGTTCTTTATCCTGTCTACACGTCAGCAGGATCTGGGGAGCTTTCAATACTCACCAGTGCCAGGGTTCCAGCCTGCACCGATGGAGTTGGCATCTGGGGGTGGGGCCTGAGTGTCAATTGTTTTTTAAAATTTCCCCATCATTCTAATGTGCAGCCACATTTCCCATTGGATTTCTTTCTTTCTTCTCTTGTAGCATTTATACCTTTTTATTTTTATATTATAATACTTTTTCATGTCTTATCTCCTGTCTTAGGCATTATGTTCCTAGCCTTTCTCATTTCTGTGTCTTTCATGGAGTCTGTCACCCACATTTGTAGCACAGTAGGTGCTCAATAAGCATTTCCCGAACACATGGATTGGTCATCAGAAAAAGATCGCAGTCACAGGTAGGTTGTGTCCTGAGTCTCAGAGTCCCTCTCCTCCCTGGGGTTGGAGTTGTGATGACCAGTAGGGGTAACTCCTCTGTGAGGTAACAGAACCTTGCCCTGTTTGGTATTTGTTTTCAGGCATATCACTCGGACTAAGAATTATATGTATATATGGGGTACAGCAGCAGGGTTGGGTAAGGAGACAGATCTAATTAGAATGGAGGAGTTATACTAGAGTTGTGGTAAAGAAGGTAAGAAATATTAGTAAAGAGGAAGAAATTTGATCTTACCTGATAGGCCAGGGTAGGCCACTACAGACCCTCGAACAGGAGAGTGAACCAGTTTTTAGGAAGATAGTGAGGCAAGAGTGAGCAAGAAAGATTTTAATAGAGAGACCAGAGACAAAGAGTCAGGCTGTACCTCCAGCAGTTATTGAGGGCCTGGGTTGTTTAGGGTCATGGGAAGCGACAGAACAATGTACTGAGAGGTGTTAAAGGACCATCAGGTTTTGTGATGTATCGAATCTGGGAAACCAGAGAGCAATGTGGAGGAAACAGTGGTAGTGTGGAAAGATGTGGAAAGAGAGGAGTGAGCTGCCGGGGAGGGCTGTGGGGGTGGGGATGGGGGGTGCAATTTAAATAAGGAGGAATTTCAGAAGGTGTTTGGATGCGAGTGTCAGTTCTGGGAAGCAGTAGGGGCTAGAGATACAGATGCAGGAACCATCTGCGGAGAGGCTGTCGAATCGATGGAAGAGGATCGTGGGCAAGTATCCAGTCCGGGCCTCACTACTAAATCTGGTGTGGGGCGTGACGCACAGGTCAGGGGGTGGAAGGAGGAGAATGCCCAAGGAGGAGAAGTTGTCCGTGGTCTTAGACATCGTAAAAGCAAACAACGTGAGGATGGTGAAAATATCTTTGAATTGGGCTAAGGACGGATACTGACTTTCTGCTGCACCTAGCGGTCTTGGGTGTGGAGGCGCCACTGCACAGGGGCCAGGAAAAACCAGGTGACAAGGACAGGGGATGCAGCACACGTGCTTCTATGGCTTGGACATGAAGGAGATGAGAGAATAGGCTAGTACTTAGTGGGATTAATAAATGAAGGGTATTCAGGTTAGAATACCCTAGAGAAGGGTCTGTGTGTCTGGACCTGTGGAGGCTCTGAGCCCAAGCTGTACTGCTGCATCTGATTCACCAGAGCCACCTGTGCAGGAAGCGCCACTTGTCCCTAATAAAGAGGCCTGGAGATCTTTTACTCATGAAATCATGTCTCTCAGAAGAAAATAGGCAGTTTCTTCCAAGCAGGTTGAAGCTATGGCCTGTCATTTCTAGATAGACTCACTTTGTCAGCAGGCATGCAAATGACTTTAGCTAATTTTCTGATCACTGGATCAAATATCTGTAGACTTAGGCTCATTCTGACTCCCAGTTCAGCAAGTTCTCTTTCTTCTGCCTGTAAAGAAGATATTGTCTAAAGCAGTATCAACCGTGAGGCAGCATGTTCATGTTGACTTTATAATTTTTATTATAAATATAGAGCAGATTTTACAAATAATTCAGAAGTAGCCCTAGCCAGACAAAATTAAATAACACAGAATAGCATGGATGAGGGGAAGTATATACAGACTGTGTCAGGGTTAGAAAACCCTTGAAAGAGGTACCTGAGTATAGAGAATTCCCAACTCGCCCTCTTTGAGGGGCCTCAGACACAGCATGACATCAAGTAATCAATATCGAATAAAACCCCTTTCTCAACAACCCCAAAGAGACTGTGTAGAGGAGGCTGGGTGGGAAGTATGTTGCCTCTCCTTCTTCTGCCCTTCCTTTCTATTCTGCACACTGGGGCTCATAGACCCCCATGGGAGAAAACATTTCAGAGGCTGTTCAAGACACCTCCAACCCAGTTATCACCCTCCCCTGTCCTAACACCCCTCACAGCCCTGGTTCCCCAGGAGCATCAGCACCAGGGCAGCTTTCCAGGGGGTAAGCAATGCCAACAGGGGTGTGAGTGTGTTCCCTTCAGGGCACCCCCACTTCTCAAGGACCAGTGGAACCTTGGCAGAGGCCAGGTCTCCTAGAAAGTGAGTGGGGCAGACACCATGCACAGCAGAGACGTGGAAAGCAATGGTGGATGAAGACCGGACTGAGATGCCGGGAAACTGAGTTAGACCCATTCCTAGCCACGAAGGAGGAAAACTGCTGCTGCTGCTGCTTTTCTTTTTTGGAGCCCCCGACATAAACACCTTGAGGAGCTCCTGGCCAAGGGGAATTGTGCGGTCTTGGTGGCTTCTTCCACTGAAGGCAGTCAGGTTGTCTTACCTAGCTAAGTAGATATAGCCCCTTTCACATAAACAAGCAGTTGCAAAAACTAGAATGTCAGACTATCTCAGGGAAAGAAACTAATACACCAAACTGCGTTCTTTAACAATTTTTTAAATAATCTCTGAAGGGTATAGCTCTCTGACTCCTTTCCCAAATTCCCAGCTGATTATCTCTACTAAGAGCTGACTGCTCCCTGAAGCTGTAAGCCCTCCTTCTGTGGGCATCTCCTTGAATAATAAAATTATGAAACATACCTGCATTTTTTTTTTTTTGCATTTTCCTTTAGGAATCACCTGTAGACCTCAGCGAATAATTTTCCTAACTGCTTCTAGTGGGTTCTCTGAAGACAGGCTTGTCAAATGGCTTAGGTGGCTTTCTAGTTACGCAGCAAGGTGTTTAGGCCCTGGTAGACAACTCTGACAGTGGACAAAGGTGTGGAATTTGGTTCAGCATCCCCATTCAGCCTATTTGTCTTCCTGTGCAGGGTGGGGTTCACAACGGGGCTTTGGAGAGAGAGAAGTTTTTACTTTTACTTCTTCTCTCTTTTCTTTTCTGGCACGTGCATTTCAGTGGATCAGGAGAGGACGCTCAAGGTTATGGTAAATTCAAGTTAGACTCCAGTAGGGCAGGACTGGGGCAGGAAGGAATAGGTACGTTTAAAACAAGGGAAGGCCGAGGGGCAGAGGTTGTGGCCACTTCCCAAGGTCCGCTTTGCCAAATTTCAATGACAAGGAGGGTTGGGTTTCCTAGAATCCCGGATGTACCTTTTCATCTATTGACACTGAAGGGAGGGGCTGTGACCAGGCAGCCCGGAGGCGCCTCATTAGGGAGTGAGGTGGGGAAAGAGGCTTCTTCCCCTTTTCCCTGAGGGTAAAGGGATCTCATAGTGATGGGGACGAGAAGCTTGGGAAGAGCACAGTGAGCAGGACAGGTTGCGTTACATCTTTCGTACTTCTGTATACACCGTTTCTGTGGCTGCTGGGGATGGGGAGGCCGAAGTTGATTTCGTTGATTCCTGGGCATTGAAGTTCAGGGAAGAATATGCAACTTCTTCAATCTGAAAGGCATGAGCAGTGTGGTCAGTTAAATCAGAGGCATAGGTCAGGCCCTCACCTTGTGTGCTGTGATTCAGCACCATGTGCGATCACCACTCCGAAACTGAAAGCTTTGGAGAAGGGTTTTTATTAGCCACGATTACTCTGCTTGCTAACATCCTGTTGAGTGATCATTAGAAGAGATAGATTATAGTATTTATTCATACTGGAATGCAGTGATACAGCATCTGAGAACGGACAATCTACAAAGGCATAGGAGGACATGCATGAATCTCACAAAACAATTTTGAATGAAAGAAGCTAGACACACACAAGGATGTACTATGTATCCCATTATGTAACAGCGTAAACAGACAAAAGAAGTGCATTGGAAGTCAGGATAGTGGTTACTCTTTGGAAGGAAGTAACTTGAGCGGGTGGGGATGACAGGTTTTATTTCTTGACCTGGGTGCCTTTTCTGTTCAACTCGTGAAAATTTATACATCGTTAAAATATATTTATGATTTAAGCACTTTTTGGTATATATGTATATTCTACTGAAAGGTCGAGAAAAATTTGGTTAAATTATGGTAAAGTAAAGGAACCAAGATCTCAGAACCATTAGAATGGACATCATCCTTTGTTGGTAAGAGCAGGGTCAGTGAAGGTAGAGGAGGGAGAACCATGTGGTGCCTTATGCTGGTCACTGTGCTGGGTGCTTTCCATTGGTCGTCTCATTTGATTCCTTCAACTTCTCTTTGAAGTAGGCAGCATGCCCATTTTACAGATGGCAAAGCCCGGGCTCAAAGAGCTTACGTTACTTGTCCAAGGTCACAGGGCTACTGAGAGTCACAGCCAGGATTTAAACACCGGATGGGGTTAATTCCAAAGTCCACATTCTTGTAATGAGGTAGAGTCATGAACCAGTAATCCTTTGTTTGTTGCTGCATTGAGGAATTTTGACCCAAACTTGATCTCACATTTGTATCTTCAAGAATAACCCATTCTACACAGAGATACTTCCATGAGAAAATCAGCCACTGATGAGTGAAATAAGTCAATCAGAGAAAGACATGTATCATATGACCTCACTGATATGAGGAATTCTTAATCTCAGGAAACAAACTGAGGGTCGCTGGAGTGGCAGGGGGTGGGAGGGATGGGGTGGCTGGGTGATAGACATTGGGGAGGGTATGTGCTATGGTGAGCGCTATGAATTGTGCAAGACTGTTGAATCACAGATCTGTACCTCTGAAACAAATAATGCAACATATGTTAAGAAAAAAGAAAAAGAAGAAGATAGCAGGAGGGGAAGAATGAAGGGGAGTAAGTCGGAGGGGGAGAAGAACCATGAGAGACGATGGCCTCTGAAAAACAAACTGAGGGTTCTAGAGGGGAGGGGGGTGGGGGGATGGGTTAATCTGGTGATGGGTATTAAAGAGGGCACATTCTGCATGGAGCACTGGGTGTTATGCACAAACAATGAATCATGGAACACTACATCAAGAACTAATGATGTAATGTATGGTGATTAACAATACAAAATTAAAAAAACTAATGATGTAATGTATGGTGATTAACATAACAACAACAACAACAATAATAATAAAAAAAAGAAAATCAGCCATTGAAACTAGTTGTGCTTACCTTGTTAGACAAATTGTCAGAATGGTCCTTACCTGGGGAAACAAAAGCAGAGTTCCCAATCCATGAAAATGCAAAGCTCATTTACGGCCTTAGAATGGGGGTTGGCAGGTGAGAGCAAGGGTGGGGAGGTGGGTCCTAAACTGTTGTGGTTTCTAGCTGAAGGAGGTGGCAGTTGGCGGGAGGATGGGGTAAGGAAGTGGCCTATGAACGCTTGAGGAATTCACTTTCCTCAGAGTTGGGGTCCAGACCCAGGGCATTGGTACCAGAGGAGGGGTAAGAGTAGAGCCACAGGAGACCTCCGTCCACTTCCGACAACTTCTTCCAGCTCACAAGGTCTTGATTTTCACCCAGATGTATTTCTCAGCAACAGGCTTCAGTGGCAAGAAGGGACACTGAGGCCCACAGTACCCAGAGCACCACAAGACAGGGAAAGTCTCACCAAAGGAGAATGCCCACATCCATCATAAAGGCAAGAAGGGAAGGAGTATGGACAAGGAAATGACTCCTGGAAACAGGTCCATCCTTGCTCAGGCCTGCTTGGCCCAAGCAGTGAATGTTTCTCCCAGGGCTGTGTCTTTTGTGGCTAGAAGGGTGTGAGGACCTATGCCAACCTAAGGTTGGGAAATGGAGATCCCCTTCCAAAAATTCAGAAGGTAGGAAGTAGTTTGGGAATCCAGGATTCCCTGTTAGGGCAGGGCACATGGTGGAACACACCAGGTCTCACTGGGTGAGTGGCTTTACTTACTGTGGTTGGAGGCTGAGGGTTTGTGCTCTGTGACATCACGCAGGTCACTTGCCCTAAATAAATATCAGACACTGTGACTGCCATTCCCAAGCATAGGATCTTTGGTCCTTGAATTAGGAAGGACATTGTCAGCAGGTAATCCCTTGGGGTTCCTCAGTGTTCATTTATACCGTGGTTGGTACTGCCTTTCCTCTTAGGGCCTCCTCCTTCAGTCTACCCACAATCTCCTCTAGGATTTGTTCCTTTCCTGTTTGCTGGATGTCCACATGTGGGTCCATTGTTGATCAATTGCATCTGAGCCTACTTGTACCCTGACACCTTTCCCCTTCTGTAGGTAGATGCTGGTTTTTGTCTCACTTTACTTATTGTCCAAGAGGCCTTTGGTTGTTTTTTGCCTTTTCTTAGGTTCTCTTCCTCTCTCCTACAACTGTTCAAAAGAGCACACGACTCACTTTCTCCTGCTCCTCCTTTCATTTCCTCATTTTTTTCCTTCTGGGACCTTGTCTTCCCCGACTGGGAGACAGAAACATAGGGGGATGGGAATAACTGTGTCCAAGAGACAGTGGGGTCCAGGAAGCATGAAGAAGAGATCCACAGGAATTAGTGCTGAGAAGCAAGGGTTTAGAAAGAAGGAGGAGCAGATCCAGGTGCAGAGACAGGGGCAAAGTCTCCTTCCCTCTCCCAAGGATGGCAGTTAGCCTTGGAGAAAGCGGAAGAAGAGGAAAGATCATCATACCCGCCAGTCTTCCTGATAAACAGAAAGTACACCAGGGCTGCTATCACAGCAACCCCAGCCAGGACTCCAGTCACAATGCCCGCAATAGCCCCAGGTGGGAGGCCAGAATTTGGTTGCGTTCTATCATCTGTCATGGAAAGAAGAGAGAAGAATGAATGAAGGTGACATTATTTTACAGTGGGGATCCCCTGGGGGACAACTCTCAACGTGTAGTAGTCTCTACTTGTTCCTTCAAGGAATACATTTTCTGTGGGAAGGTTGCTGTGAGATGATTAGCTGACTTCATCCTTCAATTTTTTCTCTCACCGTATTTTTAGGCTGGTGATCAGACTTGCCTCCATTCTCTCCTGGCCTTTCGGCACTCAGATATTTTTGAAGGCTTTGGAAATGTGAGAAAGGCTGATTGCTATTTTTCTATAACTTCCCACCTTCTCATGGTTGCATGTTTTTCTGTGTGCCAGCTGTGGCAGCCAGGAATATGCACCTCTCAGGTCTCTTGTGGTGAGGACTTAAGTGATGGAAGGCCTGGAGAGTGCATTCTGAATTCACCATCTCCTTTGCACAGAGACCACACTTCCCACAGAAGGGGGGAGGGATATGAAATAAGCCCAATTCTATGAGAAATCGTTTGCCTCTTAAGGGTGACTTGAGCTCAAGGACCCCTCCCCCCGTCACCTTGCAGATAGACACCCTTGTAGAACTGCACTTCGATCTAAAACTTTCTTCTGTCACATCTGCACGACAGTCTGAGGAACCTCCCAGGCTCCTCCCACTCCTGTCTTACCTTCACAGGCATTTTTCCTAATAAATAAATAAATATTTTTCCCAATAAACATAAATAAATAAGTAATCCCACTTTGGCTGCATCTCAGGGGATAAAAACTAACATACTAGGCTTGAAACTTTGTATTCGACTCCTTTTTTTTCCTTTCCCCGTGTTCAGTCGGTAACTATGTCCCAATGACTAATACCATTTGCATCTGTTTCTTCTTTTTTATTTCTGTTGCCCTCACCAGCCAACTCAAGCCTGATGTATTAATATTTTCTTAAAGGTTTATTTATTTATTTGAGAGAGAAAGAATGAGAGATAGAGAGCACGAGAGGGGGGAGGGCCAGAGGGAGAAGCAGACTCCCCGCCGAGCAGGGAGCCCAATGCGGGGCTCGATCCCAGGACCCCAGGATCATGACCTGAGCCGAAGGCAGTCGCGTAACCAACTGAGCCACCCAGGCGCCCCAAGCCTGATGTATTAATATTAATGTTAGCTACTATTATGGTGTACTTAGTATGTACCAGGCTCTATGGTAAATACATATATCTCATTTGATCCATATAATAATGCTTTCAGATAGACATTATTTCCAGATGAAAACACTGTGGCTTGGAGTAGTGAACAATTTACCCAAAGTCATATGGCCAGTAAAAGGTGGATCTAGGATTTGACTCTAGGACTACCTGACTTCATAGAAGCTAATGATAATAGGAGTAGTAATAGCAGCTAACACTTATGGAACATTTTCTCTGTGTGTAGCATTTTGCTAAGGGTTTAATTGATTATTACATTAAACCTTCCCATGAAGCAGGTACTTATTACAATTTTCTTTTCTTTTTAAGATTTTATTTATTTGAGAGACAGAGTGAGAGAGAGAGAGATCACGAGCAGGGAGCCTAATGCAGGACTCCATCCCAGGACCCTGGGATCATGACTTGAGATGAAGGCAGATGTTTAACTGAATGAGCCACCCAGGCGCCCTCTTACTACAGTTTCCAGTTGAGGAATATGAGGCTCAGAGAAGTTAAGAATCTTGTGCAAGAAATCTGTAATTGTAAATACTTACATTAAAAAAGATCTCAAATCAATAACCTAACTTTGTAAGGAACTGGAAAAACAAAAACAAACTAAACCCAAAGTTAGCAGAAGGAAGAGAATAATAAGGATTAGAGTGGGGATAAATAAAACAGTGAGTAGAAAAACAGTAGAGAAAATCTATGAAACCAAAAATTGATTCTTACAAAAAGATGAATAAAATTGACAAAACTTTAACTTAAAAAAAAGATTAAAATTACTAAAATCAGAATCGAAAGTGGGGGAAATCACTACCAACTTTATAGAAATAATAAATATTATAAAATAATAAGTATTATAAAAGTACTATGAATAATTGTATGCAAACAAATTGGATAATCTGGATGAAATGGACAAATTCCTAGAAACACAAAACCGACCAAGATGGAATCATGAAGAAATAGAAAATATGAAAAAACCTGTAACTAGTAAGAAGATTGAATCAGTAAGAGCATTCAACAAAATTCAACATCCTTTCATGATAAAAACCTTAAAAGTAAAAATAGAAGGAAACTGCTTCAATATGATAATGGCCATAGATGAAAAACCCACAGCCAACATCTTACTCAATGTTCAAAGACTCAAAGTTTTTTCCTCTAAGATCAGGAACAAGACAGGGATGCCTGTTTTTGTCACTTTTATCCAAAACAGCTTTGGAAGTCCTAGCCAGAGCAATAATTAGGCAAGAAAAAGAAAGAAGAGGCATTCAAATTAGAAAGAAGTATAAAATGATCTTTGTTCACAGATGACATGAACTTACACATAGAAAACACTAAAGATTCCACAAAATCTGTTATAATAAACAAATTCAGAAAAACTGCAAGATACTAAATCAACACACAAAAATCAGTTGTATTTCTATATACTAACAATGAATAATCCAAAAAGGAAATTAAGAAAATTCTATTTACCACAGCATCAAAAAGAATAAAATACTTAGGAACTAATTTAACCAAGGAGGTGAAAGACGTATACACTGAAAACTACAAAGCAATTGCTGAAAGAAATTAAAGACATAAATAAATGGGAAGACATTCCATGCTCATGGATTAGAAGACTTAAGATGACAGTACTACCCAAAATGATCTGCAGATTCAGTGCAATCCTGATCAAAATCCCAATGACATTTTTTTTTGCAGAAATAGAGAAATCTATCTTAAAATTCATATGGAATTTCAAGGGACCCCAAATATCCAAAACAATCTTACAAAAGAACAAAGTTGGAGGATTCACATTTCCTGATTTCAAAATTTACTGCAAAGCTATAGTAATCAAAACAGTGTGGTACTAGCATAAAGACAAACAAACAGACCAATAAAATAGAATAGAGATCCCAGAAATAAAACCTTACATACATAGTCACACCATTTTTTACAGGGGTGCCAAGACCATTCAGTGGAGAAAAGACAGCCTTTTCAGCAAATGAGGCTGGGAAAACTGGACACCAATGCAAAAGAATTGAATGCTTACTTAACACCGTATATGAAAAATTAACTCAAAGTGGATCAGAGACCTAAATGTAAGAGTTGGAAGAAAACACAGGGTGAAACTTTTCATGACTTTGGATTTGGCAATGATTTTTTGGATATGAAACTAAAAGCACAGGCAATAAAAGAAAAAACTAGATAAACTGGGCTTCAATTAAAATTAAAAACTTTTGTGCATCAAAGGACACTATCAACAAAATGAAAAGACAACCCACAGAGTGGGGGAAAATATTTACAAATCACATATCCCATAAGGGTTAATATCCATAACAGAGAACTAAAACTCAGCAACAAAAAACCTAATAAAAAAATGGGCAGAGGGGGCACCTGGGTAGCTCAGTCATTAAGCGTCTGCCTTCGGCTCAGGTCATGATCCCAGGGTCCTGGGATGGAGCCCCACATCAGGCTCCCTGCTTGGCGGGAAGCCTGCTCCTCCCTCTCCCACTCTCCCTGCTTGTGTTCCCTCTCTTCCTGTGTCTCTGTCAAATAAATAAATAAGATCTTAAAAAAAAAAATGGGCAGAGGACTTGAACAGACATTTCTCCAAAGAAGACATCCAGATGGCCAACAGGCACATGAAAAGATGCTCAACATCACTCGTGATCAGAGAAATGTAGATAAAAACCACAATGAGATATCACCTCATGCCCATTAAGATGGCTATTATTAAAAACAAAATGAAACAGAAAACAAGTATTGGTGAGCATGTGGAGAAGTTGGAACTTCCTTGCATTTGCTGGTGGGACTGTAAATGGTGCAGTCACTGTGGAACTGGTACGGCAGTTCATCAAAAAATTGAACAAAGAATTACCATTTGATGCAGCAATTCCACTTCTGGGTCTATGCCCCAATGAATTGAAAGCAGGGATTTCAGTAGATATTTGTAAACCCATGTTCATACCAGCATTATTTATAGCAGCCAAAAGGTGGAAAAAAAAACAAAAGTTCATAGACAGATAAACAGAATGTGATACATACACATGAGGGAATATTATTCAGCCTTAAAAAAGAAATGAAATTCTGACGCGCTACTACATGGATGAACCCTGAAGACGTTATGCTAAGTGAAAAAATCCAAACAAAAAAATAAATATTGTTATGATTCCACTTAATCTTAGAATAGTCACATTCATAGAGACAGTAAGTAGGACGGTGGTTCCTGGGGTTAAGATTGGGAGTAGGAAGTTACTGTTTAATGGATGGTGGTGATGGTTGCACAACAATACAGATGTACTAATGCTACTGAACTGAAAACTTAAAATGGTTAAAATGATAAACCTTATGTATATTTTACCACATAAAAAAATGGTAACAGAGGAAAAAAGGAATCTTGTGTAAGGTCACACAGTAAATGCCAGACCTAGGATAAGAAACTGACTGTATCTGATTCAGAGGCTTAGCTCTTAACCACTCTGCCATTCTGTTTACTGAAATGGTCTCTTGATTCTATTCTGCTCTTCTGGCCTCTGTGACTTCCATCCATTTTGCACATCATTGGTAGAGTAATCTTCCCAGAAAGATGGAACACGTGGCAAGGTGTCAGTTACCTTCCACAGCCAGTCTGACAGGGTCACTTTTACTGGAACTGCCTGGGTCGGAGACCTCACACTGGTAAGTCCCGGCATCTTCCTTCCTGACAGGGTCTATGGTGAGGGTGCTGTTGTCCTGGGACAGCTTCATCCTCTCCGTGAGCTTTAGACTCTCGTTATTGAAGAGCCACCCGATGGAGACTCCAGTGTTATTTGTGGAGCAGGTCAGGACCACAGAGTCCTTATTTCCTGTGACTGTGGTGTTGCTGGCATGGACAGTGGGCTGGGCCACTGGCTCTGTGGGGAAACACAGGTGATAGAATGAGAATGGGCCTGGGGCCTTGGGTCACACTCCTTCCTCTGAGATGCCAGCCATTCGGAGGGCCCCAGCGAGCTCTGTAAAGGTGCCCCACAGGATGGCCCTGCTGTCTGCAGAAGGATGAGTGTCTTTGTTCAGGTGACGATCTGTAAGGAGAAGGCTATACCTCCGCCTCTGACCCTCAAATTCCCTTCTGGCCCTCAGTCCTGTGTCTGCTCTGCCTGGACATCTCTGTAGTATCAGCACCAGGAACCTCTTCTAAGCCCACATGTCCAGCATCCTCATCATCAGGTGGAATTTTTTACCCAGTGGCTTTCTTGTGACCCTTTCCTAGAGCTTTCTTTTCCTAAAAGGTCAGGCCCCTTCTCTAGTATGGTAGCTTTACATAGAAAGGGAAGGCATTTCCCTTTTATTAAAAAATTTATTAGAAAATGAGAATGGGGGGCGCCTGGGTGGCTCAGTCGTTAAGCATCTGCCTTCGGCTCAGGTCATGATCTTGGGGTCCTGGGATGGAGCCCCATATTGGGCTCTCTGCTCCACGGGAAGCCTGCTTGTCCCTCTCCCACTCCACCTGCTTGTGTTCCCTCTCTCGCTCTCTCTGTCAAATAAATAAATAAAAAATCTTTAAAGAAAGAAAGAGAGAGAGAGAGAAAGAAAGAAAAGAAAGAAAGAAGGAAAGAAAGAAAGAAAAAGAAAAAGAAAAAGAAAATGAGAATGGCCCAGCCAGTCTTTTTGAGTTTAGGACCTGGAGAAGTTCCAAACTAAAGGGCTTCTCAATCTGAATCAGACTTTTACTTCCTGGCCTGTGGATTGCATATTACAGGGAGGAAATCTTTAGAGTAGTGGTCACAGTTTTAACAGAAGGGTGGTACTCTTAGCTTTAGGTATAAATATATACTTTTGGCACTGCTCCTTCTGTCCCATGAAGGGACTTCGTGGGGGAATCTACCATTATTCACTGCTCTCCTTAAGTGTAAACGTACTGGTGTCATGTAGGGTTATAGAACTGGTAGACTTCAGAGCCTGACACAATCAGAGGGTCTGCCCCAGGGCTTGCTCCTGCCCATTTCCCGGCGGCCTCACGTGAGGGAGACTCTGGCACAACTGGTAGCACAATTTGGCCAGATTGAACACAGGCTTCTCCTGTACCTTCTCCATATGCCCCTGTCCCACCACAGATGAACTCAGAGCAGAGTCAGTCTGTACGGCGAGCCAGGAGCAAAAGGACCTTCCTTCTCCCTCTATAAGCCCCCCCCAGGCAGCGTTCTGGGGCTGAGAGAACCCTCTCCCACATTCCAGGCTGGACCCGAGGTCTGCCATGAGAAATCAGAGAGCAATGGGAGGAAGTGTCTGCAGACATGTAAAGGGAGAGTACAAGGACAGATTTCGGATTTGTTTGTGACATAAGCAAATAACAATAACTTCTAGGCTCTTTGCTGAACGCCAGACAGACCTTCACCACAGCGATCCATGCAGATGCTCCAGGGATCCACTTACCAGAGACTGTGATAGTCTTGACTGTGGTCTTATTGAGGCGAGTGCCAGAGTTATAGGCGAGGCAGGCATAGGATCCACTATCATTCGCAGTGATGTTGGGGATAAAGAGCTCCTGTGTGAATGGCTGGGGCCTCCCATTGATAAACCAAGAATACTGTGCGGGTGGGTTAGAGGCTACGTGGCAGGAGAGACTGAGGTTGGCCCCTGGATGGTAACAGGAGTCTGAGGGGGAAATGGTGGGGGCGTCCGGGCCATCTGGAGCAAACAGAATAAAGCCACAGGTGATGCAATCCAAGGGCAACCGAAGCTCCCGGTCTGTATTAGGGCCACAGTGTCCCTCTGAGCTGGGTCCCAACCTCATTTTAAAAAGCCCCAACCAGAAGCCCCATGTTCACTGAGCCTGGGTCTGAGATATTCACTTGTGTCTCCTCACAGGCTACTGACCCTCTCAGGGAGGAACTGTCCATCCCCATCCAGTCTTGCCTTAGGCTGAGTCTGCCCAGGTTGGCCTGGGACAAGAAGCCATGGTCAGCCTGGGAGTGTAGCTGAGAGTCAGGGACTCGGACCCCAGAAGGATGGATGGGCCTGGCCCCCGGCATGTGGATTTGGGCTGGCAGCCCGGGCCAGGTAGGAAGGGAAGTTACTCACAGAGAACATTCAGGGTGAATGGGTCACTATGACCGGCACTCACTGGGTTCCGAGTTTCACACTCATAGGGTCCTGTGTCATTCCTTGTGACACCGTGTATAGTGAGAGTCCTGTTGTCCAGGGACAGCTCCAGCCTGGCGCTGGCCGGGAGGCTATCATTGTTTACTGACCACAGGTAGCCTGTGCTCTGAGTTTGAGGTCCACACGTTATTACAACAGAATCCACATTCTCCACGGGGTCGGAGTTGTTGCTTGTGATGCTGGGTTTGGGTAACTCCGCTGTGCAGACAACAGAGAGAACATTGCCCTGGGTGGTACCTGAGTCCTTCAAAGAATAAGGCAGGTCTGTGAAGCTCAAGACAAATGCAAGAGGATCTGAGCGCTCAGAGAACACAGGCCACCTGCTCTCCGTGTGAGAGCAAGCACAGGCCTTCTCAGGTCAAAGAAGCGTCAGGGTTTGGGTGTAGAAGACACAGGACAGGGAGCCAGAGACCACCCTGGGCCTCGGCTGGTTCTTCCCTGACCAACTGACTGTCTGACCAACCTCAGAGGCCTGACCTGGAAAGTGCAGGTGCTGAGGCCCTTTCTACGGCACAGACCTACACCAGTCACCCTACAGGTGTTCTCCCCTAGGCCTTGCTTTCCAGGGTTGTCCTGGAGATGGGTAATGATGGGCCTTCCCAGAGCTCATAAGCCTGGAGAACACTGGACAGCATG